TGTACATATATATTTATTTATTTATTTGAAACAAAAGGCAAAACCTACAAATAAGCCAATCAGCCCGATTTCCATCTCGTGCCAAACATGTTGTACGCAAAAAAAAAGGTACTTACGGCGTTCGTGAGCAAAAATCAGTTCAGGATACGTTTTTTGCTGACCATTTGTTCGATCTCCTCACTCGACACCTTACCTTGACAATTGAAAGCTCGCACCTCAAAAATTACCAGCCGCCCAAATAACGAACGAGCTCGCCTTTATTTGTCTTTTCCTCCTCCATCGTGGACCTTAAAACTCGTATGGTGTCGAGCCATAAAATAATGGGCACAGCGTCGAGCGCAACGAATCGTCGACGCAATTAGACTGTCGTGATACGTGTGATAGTATACACACCCGAGCTTGCGACTCCGGTAAAACCTCAAAATTCTCCAACGTAGCTCCTTACCTTTTTTTTTGTTATTTCCTCTTTTTGGTAATCGCAACCAACGCGTGCAAACTTTTTTACTCCCAGTGGTGAGCTGAAGCTTGCAAGCGCGCGATGAAATGCAGCTGTAAGGTGCCGTGGCACACGCAATTGCAAATATACTTGGTGGAGTTGTCCTTTTTTCGTTTTTTTGCGAGGGAAGTTTAGTTAGACCAAGGGTGCAAAGTGGGAGGAAAAAGTAATGAAAAAAAAACAATTTCTCATTTTTTCTTTTTCTTAAAAATAAAAAAAATAAAAAATGCTTTTCAAGACTATTGCATTATTCAACGATACTGCGATAAACGAGACTCGGCAACGGACTCAAATGTATTTTAATATAAACTTGTTAAGCGGATCAGCGAATTCACGAGTAATTGTTGGAGAGTAAATTTAAATACACCAGTCCTTCCATTTATTTTGTGCGAGGCATTACGAATTTCAACAAACACCGAAAGAAGCAGGTACACCTACTTTGAATCATCATATCCGAAGTAGTTGTAAATTATTGGCCCTTGAAAATTCGTTTCACGCGGATTCGCAACGAATGATCGAAAATCAAGTAACCCCATCGCGGAGCCAGAAAATTTTTTCGCCGTTCAAATTCAAATTAAGCGCGAATGTAAATCAAAAGTTTCCCCCCAATTTCATCCGATCAAAGAGTCGTTAAGACCCGTTGTACCGTAACGTTTTTTTGGCGCGCTTCGCTTCACCCACCGATCGGAAATTTTCCGATGAAACTCACACCACGGTGAACCGAGACAGTTTGGACAACGAAGTAATATGTTCCACGCACACTGCGCAGCCCCAAATGACGAAATCCCAGCCGGTATGGAGTACATACAGTCGGAAAGGAAAAGAAAAAAGAAAAAGCTCGGGCCGGGGCTTGTTTGTCCCTCAGGTATGCAGCGTCGCCGTCTGGGCACACTAAATCACCGCGTGCTCTCTCTCTCTCTTTCTCTGCGAATTTTCATCATCCCGGCGTTTCTTTCCCTCTTCTTTCTTTTTCACTGTGATGATGATGATGATGATGATTATTGTTATTATTCTCACTCGATTCTTTTTTCCCGTGGTTTCAGGGCGGAGGAGGCCGGCCGTCGAAAATAAACTCTTGGCAGCTCGGAGCCGACTGTAGGAGGGGCGCTGGATATTTTCGCCCGCGGGGCGGGAATGGGGACGACGAGCGTGCACAGCCGACGGAAGTCACCGCGACGGCCAAAAGCACCAAGAGCATCCCCGGCTCTGCCAACGCGGAAAGGAAATACGAGAAGGAAGCTGTACATGTACATATATATATACACAACCCAACACCGGACGGCTGGAAGAAGATGCTGGAAAAGCGCGGATTTCGCGCGTGTGCTCGCACCTAAATTATAAATAGGCGCCGGCGCGAGCTTTCGGGATTATTCTCGGGGCTGCTCTCTCTCTCTCTATACGTATGTGAATGAGCTTTTCTTTCTTTTTTTCCACCCCCCCCCCCTTCTCCGGACCGACGAGGATCTGTTAATGAATGGGCAGAGCTTGCGCGTTGTACTTGATACCGCATCGCGATGCTTACTTTGAAAACGCGCGAGTACACCGACGAGGGGGGAATGTTTCTTTTAATGGCTGCATTGGACTCTCGCCGTGTGTGTTATTTGGTATGGAAAGATGAGCGTCTTTTTTTTTCCTTCCTTTTGTCATGTACGTATATGGAGGTACCGCGAGCCTTGAGTAACGTTGCGCAACTGTACGATGAAAAAAAGGAAGAAAAATTCAAGTTGTCTCACATACGTTTCGGGTGTACAAATTGAAGGGTGTATTGTAACAACGCGGTGCGTGTGTTGTATATTACACGTGTATGGGGTTTCGCGGGAAAAACAAAGTAGAACACGGACACAAAGCCCCACGGAAAGTTTCGCGGCGCATTAACGGGCGACGGCTGTTACGCAATTATTTACACTTTTGTCGGCCCCAGTGCGGCTGCTTCCTCGCTCGCTCGTTCTTTGGAAAATCTCCCTCGTTTCATATATATATGCACGGTCATGCGTACGTTTTTATTGAAAAAAGAAAAAATACGTAAATAAACATAATAATAAAGAAAGAAAGAGAGGAAAAAAGATGTTTTTTTTTTTTTTTTTTTTTTTTTGCAATTTTTTCTAAAGTCCTCCTTGGAAATCTTACTAAAACACTTGAATGAAAAAATAAGGGCGAAATCCTAAACGTGTGCGAAAAATATATCGACTCATTATTTATCGAAGGGGGAAACAGCCCGATCAAAAAAGAGAAAAGCTTTGCCTACGTATGGACCACCAGTCAGAGCCGAGAGAGAGCTTTTCACGATTTAAGAGCAATCGCTTGCGCGTTACGAGTACACAAGTATACATATACTTTGATCAATCAACTGGACAAAAGGACGTTGGACGGTCCAGAGACACCTTTTTTTTTTACAGTGCTAATTTTTCGATGTACATCAATAACAGGGAAGCACTGCATCGAATTACCATTACAACGCATGTTTCATGTAAAATTTACGCAGAGGCGACAATGAACAATGCATCGATGATGATGATGATGGTAGATACTTGCATATATGGGGACGGCGTTGGTAATGAGAAAAAAAATCCATTTTCACAGTTGGATTGATCAAAATATACGTACTTTTAAAGCCACTGGTCTACCGGAACACAATAAGGTTGTCGTATCCTTACTGTACGGAAGAAAGAGCGAAGGAGGTGATGGAGGAGATGTTTCCTTTTTTCTTTTGTTTCGTTTTCACCCTCGTCTTGTACACCGCCTATATAACATGTACATTATACGTACAATTGTATGATAAACGGCACGACGAAACGATTAAAACAAAACCAAAAAAACACGTGTAATGGTTGCAAAGAGGCAAGGAGGAGGACTTGCTTCCACATATTTTGATGTCCGTGCAAGCTTAACTGGTGCCGCTGAACCTGAACTTTTATGAACTCGACTGCTGCGTGCGCGAGTGTGTATATGTTTTGTGTACATATTTATATATGTGTATGTGTGTGTGTGCGTGTGTGGGTGGGTGTACGTGCATTGTTGTTGTGTACTATAAATAATATATATATACGCCTACTAGTCGTCATGGACGCGTCGTGGGATTTGTACAAAGTTATTGAAAAAAACAAAACACTTTAGTGTGTGTACGTATGGAAAAGTAACCATTGCAATGTACGTTTTCTCGTCGAAGGCTTTGTGCTCCTGTGCACGGATGCACTCAATTGTCCGATGACCATATAAATACACTGAGAAAACCGAACGAGAGTCAGCGAATTGTCTCGTCAGTTTCTTGTTTTTCTTCTGTTATACAAGCGAGAGCGAGAAACGCCGCGGTTCATGTTAATCGAGGAGCACTGTTATACAGTGCCGCGTAAACGTGATTTGCGGAAGGAATTAAAACGCACCGGTGGCACGTATAGACATGTAATTTATGATGGGTGATTCCCTTGTGAAATCACGAATCGGTACTTCGCTGTGGTTGTTTGCACTCGTATGGGATATTATGTGATTGTTGAGAACGATTGTGGGTGCGAACATTACAATTGCGCGTTTGCGGAAAAAGAAGCGCAAACAGTGTATGTACCTGTATCGAGGCTTGTTGACGGGTGTTTTAATTGCTTCCGATTGGCAAACGCTCGCGTGGATGTTGTCGCTGCAGGTGCGTTGCACAACAATGATGTATTTGTAGTAATGTATGGACTGTGGTCGTATATTTTGTGAAATGGGAGGATACTAAAAATGTGGGACGGCGCTAAATTAATGATTATGGTTATTGCAATATAAATTGTTGTTTCGAAAGGGACGCTATGTTGTGTGTGTTATTGTGCAGCGGGACAGATTTTCTCCTTCATTGTGTACATGGTCCCTCGGAGTTTGAGGACAAAGGAGATAAAAAAAAAAAAAAACCTTTACTTTTCTCGATCGAGTGTTTTTTTAAGTCTCTTGTAATTGTTTCGTACGACTTGATGATCGTTACATTTTTGTTGTGTTACTATACGTGGTCCGGAGTTTAATCGGAATTCGAACAATGAAAAATAGAATGAATACTTAAAAATTTCCTTTTTTTCCGGTACGAGCAGTATTTCGAAGAATGCTGTTGATCTACGAAGCTTTTCTTTTATCAAATTTTCGGGAGAAAAACTCCCTTTAATATGCAGAATAAGGATTATTATCATTTTTTCGTTTTGGTATAACATTATTTTTATTTTAAAAAAATAATGAAAAAAAAGCTGGGCTTCGAAACGATCGTTGCGTGGATTTCAAAGAAAGTCTTGAAAAAAAAAAAAAAATCAACCAATATGAATAAATAAATACGAAAAAAACCTCAAAATTATCCTCGAGTCTGCTTTATAGCCAGTTGCAGAGTGATATGACAAAAAGTGTATTTTACGATATTTTATGCCTGTAAGCAGCCATCGCGCCAGGATTTATGAGAGATAAAAAAAAAAAAAAAAGTTTTAAANACTATGCAATGAGAGTAAATCAAGCAATGAGTACATTATCAATGGAAGTTAAATAAATTTATTTTATAATCGTTAATTGAAATATGATATTTACAAAGATACTCTTTCAGCAGCACAGCAGATCCTTTAAGAGTGATGCACTTAGTTTCTTGCTTTTGTTCAGTCATGATGCAACGACGTTACTTATTGTAATATTCAAATAACGCAAATAAATCATTAGCAAAAGGGGAAACAGGAGCTACTTTCGTAGTTTTTATTCAACACAATTCAGAAACCGCACTTCAATAGAGGTTGTTTTTTCTCTCCCGTTCGTTATCTCGGCGAATTTCAAAATACACAATAGCGTCACGTTATTGGTTGAATTCTTTCACTTTGCACTTTATGGAAGCCAATTACTTCGCCTGGTTAGCTTGGACAAAAATAAAAGTCGAAGTACTAAGACGTCAACCTAACCTCATTTTAATCGATGTCGCATAGGCATACACACGAATATACTACTTTTTATTAAAATGCATAATATATATTGAATTTTCAATATACTAAGTCATTCTATGTTAAAATTAACGATTTTTCCGGCGGTATTGGACATCAATCAACCCCATGATGGAAAAAATTATTATTTGCCTCTGTTGTCGTTGATTCTTATTTTTTTAATGAATGAATAATAGTGTGTCTAAATATATTGGCACGAACAATTGTGTAATCGTATTAATGAAATTATTGGCGATAAATTTGTTTGAAAAGTGGATAGATATTCAAATTGTAACGTTAAAAATTGTTAAAGTACAATACGTGAATAATGATTATTAATTTTATTATTATTATCATTGCCATTGGTAAGTTTGATTATTAAAGTGCATTTTCGAGGTTATTGTTTGAAAGAATATTTCATTGTTATTTAAAGTTCAAGAAAAAAAAATTGTGTATAAAAAAGATATCGTTATAACTTGATCTCAAAAACAGTGAGTCCATGTCAATTGATTCAACGAATACCCATTACAACAAATGGCATAAAGACAGATCCTATTCTTTATTTTTATTATTGAATTGAAACAATGAAATTTGCATACTTGCTAATTTGAACTGATCTAATAAGTAGATATTTAAATTGTTTCGATTAAAAGAGTTTAATTACTGCACAGTGTCGCGTATACGCCTATGATTTTTCTAAAGGGGTAGCGAACAATATATTTGCGATCGTTACGTGGTCCGCGACCATATTAGCTCCGATCGATTGTAGTCAATAAGACGCTGCACATATTGTAAAATATTGTATCTATCACGCGTTTATTACCCGCTGTCAGATGATGTTACGACTTTCCGTCTTTCCGTCAATGTTGACACAATGTGTTGTTTAAGATGTTTATTTATATATTATTTCGTTGTGTTTGCAATATTTTTTATTTTAAACACGTTTCGTTTTTGCTTAAATATTTATAAATATATTCTTGTAAATAATTTCAATTGTTACGCTAACAAACGACAAAATCTGTTTATTGTATGATTTACCATTTTTGGGCGAGCTTCATCATTGCTCCACTGTTATAATGTTACGTATTAGTGTTTTTGTTATTTTTTCAGTAAATACAAGTGGAGAAAAAAAAAAAAAAAAAAATTAAAGATTAAAA